CCGGCCCGGTTAAAGCCCAGGACATTCGCATTTTGTCCTCTCAATTTTGTAAATAACAGTGATGCCACGAGAATGCAGTGAGTAGGACTTCCGCGGTAGCGGTTGTATGCACGTCGCTATGTGAGAGCATTTGTAGAGGGAGAGCTGACTCTTCCCATTCTTGACCATACCAAAGCATTTGGGATTACACTCAGACGACAAGTCCTAAATGCGATGAAATTTACATCATGGATTCCACTATCATTCAATTTCTCAATGTGTTTGAAGAAAATCAACTTGTTCTTGCATATTTATTATGTTTATGAATAGTGGGCAATAGTTAAATCCATAATGTCGTTTACATTCTTCTAGAGATTTATCATCTAGCAATGGTATATGATTCTTAGTATTGTTATCCCTAATGATATTCAAAACATTATCAATGTTAAACATATAGTACTTATGTAACTTTCAGTAATATATGATGGCACTTTATTAAAGAGATCATAAGCTAACAGGTGTTAACCAAATACACAAGTAAATTTACTTAATAACTACATATAAACATGAACCCATTATACATAACAAACCATTTGTTTCATACACATAGTGTTCAGTTGAAAAGTGGAAGAATAACATTTTTTCTAGTATATCATGATGACTTGTATGATTTCACTGGGAAAATATTGTGGAATAGTGTTATAACTTGTTGTTTTGTGCCGTAATAATATATAACATAGTGATACCACTAATGAGAGAACAGTGAATTATCGATCGGACTAATGATGTGTAAACCTATACGAGCAGTCTAGAGTCCCTATCGGTCCTTCTCCCTGACTCGCTCTATCTGTTAAAGTCCAAAACACCAATCTCAGCCTCCGCGATATCAGTCATATATTTCAAATATACTGGATTCATATACAAACCAAACAGACTACATTGTACCATAAAGTAGGAAACAACATTTGTACAAGATTTAGCCAAAAGTGGCTATGATTGTGAGGAACATGAATATGTATAGCTAAGTTACTTAACAATTATTCAATAAGAATGTAAGTATAGTATTAGTCCATAAATGGATCCTTACAGTTATCATTCAATATTCTCATCGGAATATAGCAATATAGGTTAACATAGACCTTCATAAGCATAGATTATATGTAATACCCATCAACAACTACAATATAAGATTGAACATATCACATTCTAACCTTCCAAATGGTTAAAAACAAATGAATTAATGAGCCAGATATCACTCGTTTGGATATTTATTATAACAGAGAGAGTAATGAAGACATTAGAAGTTTCGAAGCTATTTCACAGTCAATTAATATTCATATTTTGATTGCATAATTATTAGATAATTGGATTATTATATTCCAATATTCCTTAAATGATAAGCTTCCATTGAACTTACTAACTCTTGTTACATCTTTTAGTATGTTTGAATTATTGCTAACTAATTATGTGAAGGGGTTTGTGGAGATCTTAGAAATTTCACAGATTGAAATCATGAGTCAATTGAAGCTAGACCACCATGGAAAACCTCAAAGCACTGGACAGCCGTTTCGTCCTAGTATGGGACTCCATAGCAGTGCGCATCCACGTCCCGCACTCCGCGAGATTTGAACCGAGGACGTATCAGTCTCGCGCCAGGCGCTTAACCAACTAGACCACTGAGCCGGCATCCAAAACGAGACGGCCGTCCAGTGCTTCCAGGTTTCCTATGGTGGTCTTGCTTCAATTGACTTCAATCTGTGTAACTAATTATGTAACATTTGCTTCATTCTCTGAAATTTATAACATGATTGTGTGTACAGGATGATTATGATCAGGATGGTTCTTCTTGTAGAGATCATAGTGATTTTAATAGTTGGATTCATGAGTCGATGTAAGCTAGATCACCAATGAAAACCTGAAAGTACTGGACGGATATTTCTTTCTCGTATGGGAATCCTAAGTAATGCGCGCCCATGATCCCGCCCGAAACCATTAGATCCCGGCTCAGTGACTTTGAAGTTTAGCATTCGTGTGCAAAACCGAAGATCCACGGTTCGAATCCTGTATGCGGAATCATGAACGCGCACTGCTCAAGAGTCCTATTTTAGGATGAAACGACCGTCTAGTGCTTTCAGATTTTTCTATGGTAGTCTAGCTTCAATTAACTCATAATCAATCATCATTAAATGATGCGAAAAATCTATACATTCATTAAATCAAAATGAAAGTGAAGAAAATCTGAAAAATCTTAATATAGGAATTTTAATATATACATAAACATATAAAACTCAGTAGGATACATCGAACAAACGAAATTCCAAGTCAATGGAAATACCATATACGACAGTGTAGTTAGTGATTTGGTCAAAAAATAACAAACTTAAAGGAAAAAAACATGGACTTGGACACTTTTTTTTGTTTACATCCCCCCTACATGTCAACTAATTTACTTTTAAATGTATACACATATATGTACCTTAAAAGTAATGGTATTCCATTGAATTCAAACTTAATATTCTTATTAACAAATAGGTCTTCTGTTTACATTTCAGATTGAATTGATTACTTAAATTGATTGATTACTAAGGCTTCATAAATCAGATATTTTTCTTATCCTTATTGATGATTAGTTGTTGCAGACAAAGATACTGTTTAATCAGAATCTAAGCTTATTGATTGAGCGTTCGCACGCAAGACTGATAGGTCCTGGGTTCGAATCCCATGGGCGGGATCGTGAATGCGCACTGCTGAGGAGTCCCACAATAAAATGAACCGACTGTCCAGTGCTTCCAGGTTTTTAGTAGTTGTCTAAAATCAACCGGTTCAAGATCTCAGTCAATAAGTTAATACTCTCCACAACTAAATACTGACAATCTAAACTGTTTACTGTTGTGTGTATTATATTTTGTTATTAGGTGGCACACAAAAAATTCGATCCGCTTTAAAGGCTTTGGTTACAATATGATGGTCGATCAAAGAAAATATTTTAGTCTTAAAAGAGGACTGAGAATACCATACATTTTGAAGCTGAATGACGTGGGTTCAGATTTCACAAGGAGTGTCAGTTCCATGTAAATTCTGGTATGCCTTGTTGATGAGTTTTGACTATCACTAAACTAAGGTTAAGTGCTTTCGTATGATGTTCTTCAGTCAATAAACATCACAAATAACACTAAACATACACGAGTGACAATCATTTTTGAGACCCTGGTCAATCAGTCAGGTACAACGTAGGACTAGGCACATATTTGCATCGGCCAAAGTTGTCAGACCTGATTAGCACAACAAGATGAACACCAAATTTATAGAAATAGGTAATTCAGTGGTGGTAATATATAAATGATAGATTGCATATAAGGATATAATACAGGCAGAAAGAATTAGTTGGTAGACAGAAAGATATCAAGCGATTTTAATCTCATAGTTTAAGGGAAGGCAGAGAATGTATAAACCTACGCCATTGTGATCGATTCTGAGCCATTTCACCCAGAGTCTCCAACCATTAGTTACAATAGTCCAACAGTTAGACCATACCACATTGAAAGCATTGATTCTCGTTCGATCACCGAGACCCCGGTGAAACTCATCGTTCCTTACTGACTAAAATTTGTGTGTATTTTGAACAACAGTGTACAAACTGCTGAAAGTGTTCTACTCAATAAGAATGATTTGAGACTTCAATTAGACTTTAACATTAAAGATATAGATTCACGACAGGCATCAATAAAACATAAATAAAATAATAAAGTCACCCAAGGCTCTCTGTTATTTACTGTATTATTGGATGAATGAATAAGAGAACATCAAACACAACCATAACTTTTTACTAGTTGAACTCATGAAACTATTTAAGTTAGACCGTCATTGAAAACCTGGAAGCACTGGACAACCGTGTCGTCCTAGTATGGGACTCCTCAGCGGTCAGCATCTATGATTCTACGAAACGGTCATTCAACGCTTCCAGGTTTTTAATGGTGTTCCAGCTTAAATCCATTCATAAATTCAACTATTATGATTATTACAATGCCCATAAAACCCCATTCTAATAACTATAATTAACAATTATGATCCGAAATAACATGGAACAACATTGTTTACAATTGTACAAATTCATTCAGCAATCATTTTCTCTTAGATCATCAAATTCAATATTAACCCTTAGTACTTTAGTTCATTAATATCTGATTTTTATTTCAATTATATCCGTTCATATTTAGTCTTTCACCATATCTATGGTATTGGTATGATTTTAGCTACTTTCCCCACTCTACTTATGTAATTCATTCTCATGTATATTCATTTAAAATGTTACAATATAAGCAAAGGTGTATAATAGCTAGCACCTGAATCTAGGACATGCGTTTCGTCCTATTTATGACTCGTCAGCTGGATGGACCATCATCTCAGAGTTGATGTTCACTCTGGGACTTGAACTCAGTACTCCATTACGTTATTCACATATAATGCTTATAATGCATATGAATCAAGGCAATATCAAAGCAATTCACACAGTGTGCACATATGCTAATAATAGACTAATCAATTACAATCCTAAACATCAATGAGAAGATTCATGTAAACAACAATATCAAGTGAATTTGTTACCATATAAGTTAATAAACATTGATTGAAAATTTTCATTTGTTTATGATTAATTCATTTATGTATTGTAACTATGGCAGAAATTATCATAATACTCACAACATGACTAGTTAGTAGTATGTAACGAAATCCATATTCATTATTCAAGTACACAATATGACTTGTAAACATATCAAAGTATATTTTACTATACTCCACGTTCCTCCTCCTTCTCTTCTTCTTCTCCTTCTTCTTCCTTCTATATTTCTCCTCATTATCCATTCTCGTTTTTCAAAATGATGTCATTGTATATGGTAACCTATTCTAGAATACTCTAAAATTTCTGATCCTTTCATAGTATCAATGACATTTGTTTATTACACTTCAATGAATATAAACCATTTTCATTAAAATGAGAATGAAAACAACAAAAAACTTACTTTTCATTGTTTCTGCCACATGATGATGATTTTCAATACAATCAGAACAATGTGATAAATCATAGATTTGATTTTGTATCGTATGATTACTCATTATACTACTATTATCCATATTAGTAGTAGTAGTAGTATTGATAAAGTTTGTTAATGTACTATTAGTTATATGAATATTTTTATCAATTAATGTTTGTAGCATAGCATATGGTATACTAAATATTAAACCAATAATGATAATGAAAGTACAAATAAATATAGCCATACCTACACCACCATTTGAACGACATTTTAATGGCCAATATAAACAATTAACACGATCTATACTAAATGCAACTAATAAACAACCAGAATTAAATACAAACCATGTTCCAATTAATTCCATTAATTGACATGATATTAATGATATAGTATCTAATTTAATCATAATATTCTTATTTGTTAAATAATATAATCCACGTCCAAGAAAATCATCTAATAATGTATTAGTGATTAAGACCAAACTATCAGAGATAGCTAATGTCATGACATAAATAGAAAAACGATTCCATGGTTTATGAGTTAAAAATAAATAAAATGCTGATATATTACCAAATACACCAAATAATACAATTATTGGACTAATATAACCTCTTAAAAATCCTACAGCATATTCCATATTCTTCACATGAATTGAACATTTCTCTATAGGATTATTATGATGATAATGATGTATAGATGTATTGAAAGTGATGAATGACATGATGATTTCTTTGAATGGAATATGCAGAAAAAACAAAAGATGGAAAATATTCTTCACTGTTTCTATGTAAGTTAATTGATATTTATAGTTTCAACGGTTTGTTTTGTTTTGTTTCTGTGCCAAAATTGGATGGTAATTCTTAAAAGATAAATAAGATTTAGTTTGGATGATTTTGATTGGTTACTTTATTTGAAATGGAATAAATGTGTGTCTGTTTATCGATCAATTCTAAAGTATGTCTTTAATGAATGTGTTTGTATGTCTATAACCGTATCACAATTATAAGAATGAACTAATCAGATAAATATGTGTATTTTATTAAAGGCGATTAAAGAAGTGATAGACATTTTGAAATGAAGAATTCTTGATTACTTTCTACAGAATGATCTTGACAATTAGTGTCCAATAACAAGCTAAGATGTAAACTCCCGGATTTAATCAATTTAATATACATTTGTCAATGTACTTGTTCAACTAGCTTTTGCCAAATTGTGTCATTTATGGCGTTGGTGAGATATCCGTCTATCAACCAAAGGATGGCTTTACTGTGCAGCAGTTGGTTCCGTCCTATTTTATGGCTGTGAAACATGGTCAACAAGAGTAGAGGATATCCGTACGCTTCTAGTATTCGGTTATAAGTGTCTTCTAAGCATGGCTCGGATATCCTGAGACCACTGAGTAAGTAATGCAGTTGTTAGGAAACGGGTGCTAGATAAGGATAGCAAATCAATTGACGAAGTAGTAAAACTTCATCAGTTGAGATGGCTGGGACACGTGTTACGTATGCCCAACCACTGACTGCCCCAACGTGTGATGCTTTCTGGTGCAGAAGTAGGTTGGAAGAAAGTTAGGGACGGCCAGACCAAAACATCGCACAAATTCATGAAGTCACTGACAAGTGGACTGATTCATGTTGGTAGGTGTAGACTATCTGGTTGAGATTCGTGAAAAGATAACGACTGATGGTTAGAGACCTTGAATGACAGGGCTCAAAATTGTTTACAATGGCGCAGGTGCATTCACTCTTTGTATTCTCTCAAATTTTATTCTTCTGAGTTCTTTATGTCCCTTCCTTTCTTCTCTTTCCGAATTTATTTCACTGGATTATACTCCTTGAATAACATCTTCAAACCCTAATATTTGCGATTACTGCTTATACTCTTACTACCTCTTCCACTATGAGGTTTGAATCGACAATTGTATCTCTGTGCTAATGTGGTATAGCAACTTGAACTGATTTACGTACGTACGAAGTTCTACATTGTTACTGACTGACTGACTGTACCTGTTCATATACAGCCAGGCATATAGGTCGCTTGATGCGTATTTTATCAAGAAGGATTCAAGAATATTATCCGGTTTATGTGAAAAGAGGTGAAAGCATTTCAATAAGAAGCTGTATAATCAAACACCTTATGAACACAGGTTATTCATTTAAAACTGACTCACAGTTTAAAGTCATCTACAAGGTAAGTAGAAAGTTGCCAAAGGCAGTGAGCTGCTATCTTTTTAGCATTACGGAAGCATTTACTATAGATTCTGGAAAATTAGAATTAGAAATGTGAAAAAAACTTGTGCAACTTTTTTTCTATCTGCTACATCTTTGATCTGTCTGCCCAACAATATACAGGAGACAACTTGTCACAATCTAGGTTAAGACTTTGACACATTAGGCTAATTAGTTCAACTTTTATGCTAGAAATACTTGAGTCCGAATTGAGACCAAGGACCTTGAGCACCTGATCGGTTGACGTGGTAGCGAAAGAGAGGGAGAGAGAAGACGAGTGAACTGAAACACTGCTCGATGTATTCCTGATTCAGATTAATGTAAAGAGACATTTGAATAAATAAATGACCAATACGACCACAATGAACAAACAACAAGAGCAATACAATTATGTTCAAACTATTCGTTAGGGTAGAATACAAAAGGTTACGCTCAAATTGCAATAGCCTCGGAATAGAGAAGGATATAATAGTGAACGATACATTAAACAAAAGCTTAGGCTTTGTAGACGAATCTAGAAGTAAAACTAAATGTTCTTATTTTATAAACTTTGAATTAAGTGAAATAATGGTCACAAAAATAGTTGTTGGTTAAGGTTAGGAAATAGATTTAGGGTTTTCATCACGAACTGACATAAGGTATAATGCCAAAACGCTATTTAGACAAGTAGATGAATGAATTTCACACCGAAACCCAAGATCTGATATCATAAATCTGATTGGTTAGTTCATAAATTATTTTGTCGCCAACTAGTCCTAGGAGAAAGCATAAGTAAGATTTCTTCCTTCTTCCCAAATTGAATTGTGTGAAATCGGAAATAAGCATGTGATTACCTTGGTTTTTCTTTTAGAATCACCAGTGTGTCTTTATTTTAAGATGTTTAGGCTTGTATCCTAGCAGATAATAGATAACTAACTGTTGGATAATATTGCCTTACACAATTACTTCTAAGCCAAGCATGGTTTATGAAATCAATCATATTTATAATGAAGCAGTTAGCAACTAATGATTTTGCACGAAAACTTCATCATATTATTAACTGACTGTAATTGAAATTATGAACAACTAGGTTCAGTATCTAAATAATGTTATAACTTGTGCCCTGTGTCCTATTAACGTTTAACGTAATGATAACGCCAATTAGAGGGCAGTGAATTATCGATCGGACCAATGACGCATAAAACAAGTACGAGCAGTCTAGAGTCCTTATCGTTCCTGCTTCCCGCCTAGCCTTGCCTGTTAAGTACAGAACATCAATGCCAGCTTCCATTATGAGAATCATTTATTCCAAACATGCTGGGTTTACACAGAAACCGAGCAGACGACATCTTACCATAAAGTAGGAAACAACATTCGTACAAGATTTAGCCAAAAGTGACTGTGAATGTAGGAGACTGTAATTAATTAATGGACTGGACATAACTCAAGAATGGCAAATCGTATAATTGTAGTTCATAGGTCAAAATAAAGCTTACAATAAGCAGAACACAAATATGAATAGTTTAGTTACTTAACAATTATACAATAAATATACACTTATAGTAATAGTCCAGAAATAGAATCCAACAGTTACCATTCATTATTCTCATCGGGATATAACAAGTAATACTATACTTAGCAGGGAATTCAAAATTGCCGGATTCAGTCTCATGTAGAACGACAAGTTTTTATCACTCAAGTGTTCATATCTGATAAACGTGATTGGGAATGAACTCTTATCAGATAGACACCTTCAACCTATGTTGAGCAATAATATTCATTTTAGAAGAACTTCGATTATTGAAAATCATGATGTTTGGTTCATTTTAAAAATTTAGTTAGTAAATTCTTTATTTATTAATTGAATTAATGAGCCAATGTAACCTAGACCACTATGGAAAACTTAGAAGCATTCGACGTCCTTTTCGTCCTAGTATGGAACTCTTCAGCAGTCCCCATCCCTGACTCCACACACGACACTCTAACCCAAGACCTGCTGTGAGGCAGTGACTCGCTGAACTCAATGATGAACGGTGGCGCAATTTCGTGGATTGGTTAAAACTAAACATTAACATCGTTAGATGCTGACTCAGTGATCTAAAGTGTCCATGTGCGAGACCAGCGGTCCTGGGTTCGAGTCCTACGCGTAAGGTCCTGTGTATACACTGTTGACGAATCCAATACTGCGACGAAACGACAGTCTAGTACCTTAAAGTTTTCAATGGTGATCTAGCTTGAATCAACTGATGAATTCAACTATTAAATGACTACAACCTCCAAAATATCACTTTTCTGAGAATATTTTATTATTTCTAAATGATAGAAAGTTACATCTAACCAAATGTTTATTTTAAAATGTTACATTTCTCAAATAATGGATATATTAGTGAACATGACGTCATTTCAAAAAATCAATATTTTACTCCTTACAGTAACAAAGATATTACATAATAATCGTAAGCAAAATATTCATACAGACAAAGAAGTAATAAAAAAATGGGAACGAAAGTAGATCATCAACATGTTTATGTAACAAAATATCACTTACGATTTTTTATGAATAGCCTTTTCACTGGTTGAAATCCACAAAACCCATTCTGATAATAATCATCTGCTTACTAGTGACTGGCTACAGGAGATACTCTTGGAGTTCTTAGTGAGAAGCCGTTACCAGTGGAGTTCATCAACCAGATCTGTTGTGAGATAGGAACTCATTGAAGACAATAGTGTATGGTGACGCAACTTCGTGGATTGTTTGAAGTTAGACACTAACACCGTTGGATGCCGACCAGCTCAATGGTCTAGTTGATTAAGCGCCTGACGCGAGACTGATAGGTCCTGGGTCCGAATCACGCGGGGTGCGGGACTGTGGATGCGCACTGCTGGGGAGTCCCACATAGGATGAAACGGCCATCCAGTGCTTTCATATTTTTCATGGTGGTCTAGCTTCAATTGACTCATGATTTCAACCAGCGAAATTTCTAAAAAAAATCTCCACAAAACCCATTCTGATAATAGCCTTTTCATTAGATTCTTATTACATTCTACAGTTCTATAACAAAATTATTGTTCTGAAAGAAAAGCCAAGTTTAAAGTAAATTCATCTTTCGCCTTCCTCTATTCCGCTTCCATTCAGTATTCCATGTTAAGGTTTATCTCATGATGTAGTTTGGTGATTTGTGTAATGTGTGTTTTATCCACATGCAACTTCATTTCTTAATTTTCTCTTCAGCTGGATATTGGTTTGTTGGTTTGTTCTCTCCAAAAGTAAACTGTTACTGATGGTACCTGGTCAAGGGGTATTGAGTATCTTGTATAGACAATTGTAAATCAATACTTGTCCATTTTTGATGATGGTTGTGGTGGTAGTTCTCGAAGTTTCAACTCCTTACAATAGGACTGTCTTGATGTACGTATTGAAGATTCTGAGTTTAGTGCTGACTGACTGACAGTTTTTTTGAGTTCCATATATTCTTCGATTGTAGAAATGCGGCCCTTGCTTTGCTAATTCTCA